ATAGAAGCTTCTTAAATACTTTGTCCTCAATTTCTTGCCCTCAGTTAACTGTGGCAAAACTTCATTTTGTGAATGAAAATTTCCAATGAAGGACAGATACACACAGAGAGAACATAACTATAGAAACACAGCTTATTAAATTCTGTGGTTGTTGTAATGGACTGGAAGGTGACTAATCTGGTAAAGGTAATGCAGACAAGCTTGCAGACATGCAATTATTTCCATGGGAACCACCTTATTGATGGAGAGAGAGGAAAAAGTCACAATTGTTCTCTAGCTGCATATAGGTGGGGGTGTCATGTCTCCACACTCTAAAGCTGGGACATCTGGTTTCCCATTCCTCACTTACACTAGAATCTTGCCTCTGATGCCCTCCTATAAACATATTACTATGTGTTCCATTTTCGTGATTTGGGTCTTTTGTTATCTTACTTTGGCTGCAAGAACTTGAAGAAACATAGAAGGCCAATATCAAACCATCACCTGAAAAACATGTTAAGGGAATGTGGGCATCTGGAAATTGTAAATGTGTTAAGACTGTTGTTAGGCACAAACTGAACCAAAATGTCTCCTATAGATGCTTAGCTAACAGTTATTTATTGTCTTCCTCTTATTCTTTCCAAGAGCACAAACCTTCTAGTGAAAGTCCAGATAGCCTCGAAGGCTTGTTCATGCTTCACTGGAGCTAACATCCTCCTAAATGAGCATGACATGTTCTGGATGATTGAAAATTGGTCCAGGTAACCTGCACTGCCTTCTGCTCTCATCCACATTCCTCTTAGATGTGAGCAGTCTACACCCCAGCCAGAGACAAGGGATTCACAGGATAAGAACTCCTGAATATGGCAAATATTTGAGGACATAAATATGTTTATCCTGATTTAAATATTACACAAATTCCAGACAAGCTGGTATACTACTTACCCCAGCACTCAAGAGGTGGAGGCAGGAGCATTAAAAGTTCAAGACCAGCCTGGGTTGCATAGGAAGACCCTGTCACAAATAAAAATTGTACATGTATCAAACACTAAATAGTGCCCCCATTAAAATATATAACAGGTTTTTTTGTATCCATTAAAAATTTAAATGCCAAAGAATAAACGTTATAAAGTTCAAAACTTATACATGGCATCTGAGACAATTTTCTTGGTGTGGTAGGAAGCTTAGGGCTGGGTCTGAGAGTAAAGCTAGATCCCTCGCTACATCATCCAGCTACTTTAGCTCACCCAGTTCCACCTGGAATGCCTTGCCACAAGCTGCACACACCTGGGACCCCCCACCTGACATTCAGCTGGCCATGAGCTCACTTTTCTGCATCCATTCACACAGCTGCCTCAGCACAGCCTGCTTCTGGCTTGTGGCCTTGGCTCCCGTTAGGCTGTAAACTTCTAGATGTTTCATTTTTAGTTTCTCTGGGGTCTCTAATGAGTATCTCAACAAATTTGGACTGGCTAAAATTCCATGCTAAGAGAGCTATCCCTCCCGGGGATATTTATCCCTCTTCTATTTATTCTGCAGCTGGGACCCCTGTTCTCAGGTGAACACAGACTTGACCATCTTGGTGGGGAAGTGGTTGTGCACATTCACTTCCTAAGGGAGTTTTGTTGTTCTCAGTGAACAGCTACCTCTGTCATGCTATGCAAGAAATCATCCCCTATGTAACTTAAAGCAACAAGTGTTCATTTGGCTCACAAGTCGGTGGGTTGGCAATTTAGAATGGGCTTGGCTAGGCAGTTCTGGGCTAGCTGGCTCCTCCACAGTGTGAGGTTTAGCTCATCTGGCATGGCCTTGGCCAGCTCAATTGGAGCAGGGACACCCCTGTGTTATCCTCTGTGAGCCTTGTCTCTGTGGCCTGGTCCAGGCTGTCAAAGGCAAGGAGCAAGAGCTAGCTAGAGAGGAGAGGTGGAGAGACAGCTCCATGGTTTAAGAGCACTGGCTACTCTTCCAGAGGACCCAGGTTCGAGTCCCAGCTCCCACATGGCAGGTCACAACTGTCTGTAGCTGCAGTTCCAAGGGATCCGACACCCTCACACAGACATACGTGCAGACAAAACACCAATGCACATAAAATTTTAAAAGAGAGAAAGAAAACAGGGCAGTAGGGTCACTGAGGCCTCTGGGGCTCTGCCACTGTGTGTATGGCTCTGAGATAGGAAATCCCAGTAGGAGCAGACTAGTTTCTTAGATTCTATTTCTGGTTCCTGCAGAGGGCGCCAAATGCAAGCCAGCGGGTCCTGTTGGCTGTTCCTACCCACGCACATACACACCCACCCCTTTGTGCTGTAGTTTGCTTCCTTTCCCCCTTCTGTTCTAAAAGCAGCTTGAGGGAGGAAAAGGATTATTTGGCTTATGGATTACAGTCCATCACCCAGGGGAGACAGGGCAGGAACTCATGGTACAAGTTTGAAGCAGTAACCATGGAGGAATACTGCCTTCCTGGCTTGTTCACTCTGACTGCCTCAGCTACCTTTCCTACACAGCCTAAGCCCAGCTGCCCGGGGGTGGCACCACCTATAGTGGGCTGGGCCCTCGCATACCAGTTAGCAATCAAGAAAATGCCCACAGATGTGCCCGCAAGATAGAGGCCTGATAGAGGCAATTCCTTCTTTGAGGGTCTTACTTTCCAGGTGTGTCAAGTTGACATGCAAAGCTATGAGGTCTTCCTTACCCCAATGACATTCCAGATTCCAGTTACCGTAACAAACCGCCCAAAACTTAGTAGGTTAAAACAACAACCATTTTATATCATGGGATCTGTTGGTTTAAGGTTTGGGACCATACTTGGCTGTGCAGATCTGCTTCTGTGGCTTCATTCACATATCTGGCACCTGGGTGGGGATGGCTGGGAGGCAGGTCATCTGGGCCCATCAGGCACGCGGCCTGCATGGCCTTGCACAGCCATCTCAGGTGAGTTGGCGTTCTTCTGAAAACCTGGCTCTCTCTCGGTATATTCTGAGGAACTGTGTGACCTATGACCTAGCCTGAAGAAGTCCATAGTATTCTATTGGTCAAAGCAGCCAGAGAGGTGACCTGCAGTAGTATAAGAACCACCATCTTTTTTCCTATTTTACAATAAGGGCTATGGTCAAAACAGGTACCACAAATCATCTCACACAAAAAACACTGCTGGTGGCTCTCTGAATAGGTGATTTACTAGGTCCAAACCAGTAAATAACCATCTAAATGTGGGAATCCAATCTCCTTCCCCTCCCCCACAAATTCCTCCCCATCGTTCTTGAGCTGTGGTACCCTATGAGGCAGCCTCTCTCAGTAGGTCCGAGGGAACCTCTTTAGAGTCTGGGTAAGCACAGTGTTCCTGAACATCTATTGCAAGTGGCTGATGCCCTGTCGGAAAGAGAGAAGGTCCAGAGTGATGGCCACTGGGATGGAGAGTGTCTGCATCTATGACAGTTAGCTCTGTCAACTTGGTGCAATCGAGAATCGCCTTGGAAGGGAATTTTGATGAGGGACTGTCTGGATCTGTGGGTGAGTCTTCTGGGGATTGTCTAGATTATATTCATCGATATGGCAGGAGCCAGCCCACTGTGGGCAGCGTCATGCCCTGGGTTTGGGTCATTGACTTTGTAAGAGAAGAGGAAGCGAGCTGAGTAGTAAGCACGCACACACTAATTCATTTCTGTCTTCTTGAGTGTGGATGTGATGTGACTAGCTGCTTCATGTCCCTGACATCTTGACTTCCTCACAATGATGCCTATAAATGTCAGTGAAAACAAATCCTTTCTCCTCTTCTTTTAAAATCAGTTATTACTTAGCCTCTGAGTAAGCATGTGGGCACATACATGCAGTGGTATGCATGTGGGGCTCGGAGAACAACATGCTGGTTCTCCCTTCCACCATGTGGGTTAGAGGGACTGGACTCAGGTCATCGAGTCCAGTGGCAAGTGCTTTTACCCATCGAACCATCTCACCACCTGACCCGCACCCCACCCCCACGCCACCCCCACAGCTGTTTTTGTCGGGATATTTTATCACAGCAACTGGAAATGAAACTAAACACATCCTAACCCTCATGCTTGGTCCTCAGTGGTCAGCCAGGTAGCCTTTTGTTTCTGGCAAACTCTCAGAGGATAGGCTAAATGTAATATTGTGGCCTTTGCCATCATGGGTTCAGGAACCCAGTTCTGATCAACTCAGCAGACACCATGCTTCTGACTGTTTAAAAATAGGCCCGGGACCCACAACAGGCCAAGTAATCTAAAGGCAGGTTTAACTGGGGGCTCTGGGGGTTGAGAGTCTGTGGGGCAGTTGTTCTCCACTCCTCTGGGTTGTGCTGGGAGCAGACAGCACTCTTGTTAGTGGAAGAGACTCCAGCAGCAGACGGGAGGCAGAGAAATGAAGTGGGGACCCTTCGCTGAATGCTGTCTACCTACCACTGGACACCTCAGTTGTCCGTAATCTCAGCCACTCATGGTGACAGCCGAGGGAATCCCTCATCATCTCTGGGGAATGCCTTGTCAGGGTTATAGAGCATCATCTACACAGGTGAGCTGGCAGAGTTGGAAGTGCAGCCTCCAGCTAACTCCAGGCGAGGTGCTGTACCAGCTGTGAGCTCAGGGAGTAGCCTCCATGTTCTTCTCTCCACACTGTAGCCCCTCATGGAGCTCCATGATGGCCATAAAATTACCTCAAGGGACATTTACCTGGCACATATGGGCTCTGTGACTGCCTGTGAAGAGAATCAGGCCACCTAAGGTGTGGGACTTGGGACAGAATGAGTCTTAGCTAGATCTATAGGTGGCACTAGGACCACAGGTCCTCCAGCAAGGTGAGAGCCAGGAATGAGCTGGCAGGGCTGGACTTGGTGATTTTTGGTAAACCTCACTACCTCTTTGTACATCAATTTCCTCCATTATCCTCAAGGAAACCGGGTACCCTGAAAATCCAGCCATCTAAGAGTTTGGGAAGTAGAACTGAACTCAGTCTCTCCACTCCATCCAGGATCAGTAAGCGTTATCCCCAGCACCCAAAGGAGAGTGGGCTACAGCCAGGAATCACCTTTATTCCTTGCTTGCCCACCCAGAAGCCCCAGAATAGTAATGTAAATAGCATAAATGCCTGCCTTCGAAGACACGGCCTTCAGCTGATTTCTCTCAGGAAATACAGTTCACAGTTCTGACTTGCTGGGTAAGAGGCTGCCTGCCGAGTTCCCAAGGCTTAGGCTCACTGAAGAGCTTGTATAACAGCCCAGGAGGCAGCCTATGTGGTGACAAGGTAGGTGTGTGTATTGGGGTGGGGGACAAAAAGAAATGTCTTTCCAAAATAGAGCCAAACCCCACTCAGGAAATGTGGGGAAGACAGTTCTCGGGTATGCAGGGTTAAGGAGAAATGAATCCCCAGGAAAAAGGAAGAGGTCAGGCACACAGGGGTAAACACAATGGTGTGCAAGATACAGGCGTGGAAGAGGGTCACAGGGCCCTTCCAGCAGGCAGCAAGGACTCAGCAGTGGAGCCCTAGACCAGGGAAACCAGCATGAGAAAACACCAGCACCTGCCCTGGTCAGGGTGTGTGGAGTGCGTTTCCCACACAGAACATGGTTGTGAAGGGCACTGTCAAGACAGAGGCCAAGATGGCACCTGGGATTTGAAGCTATAACCACTGTCCCTTTGAGAACATCAAGAGGAGGAAGGTTTCTGTTCTGATATGGTTCACATGGCAAGGGACTCGACTGAGTCTCCACCTTTTTCTTGGGAGTGAGCTTGGATCTTGTGGCTTTCTCAGTACCTCTGACTTCACATGAAGGTGATGGGGTTCTGGCCAGTTGCAGGGTCCCTCCTCAGCAAGTCTGAAGCTGGGAGCTGCACCAAGAGCATCTGCTCACCTCCTCTTTTGTGGTTCTTAAATCTTGAGAGACCTCACAGCTGGCTGCCTTGGGTGAGAGCAGCTGTGCTCGGAGGTCTGAAGGGTGCAGAAGCCTGTGCACCAGCACTCCCAAAGCCAGATGAGAGCAGAACAAAATGCATGAGCCCTGCCCTTCCCATTGTCTAACAGTGCTAAGCCAAGTCCATGGCCTGAGCCAGCATCTTTCCAGAGGAGATAAGGCATTACAGCCAGCTGTTTAGCCAGATGTGGGGGGGCAGGGCAGTCTCCAGGGTGGACATGTAGAAGGTTTCTGGTTCTTTTAATTAAGACAGGATGCAGTGGTCCAAAACTCTTCCAGTCAAACTGAGTCAAAAGCATGTCTTAGCAGCAAGAATGTATCCTTGTTTTGTCGCATGAAGGTCAGTGGACACTGGCCCAGGAGAGGGTAAGGCCAGCATGATGTGTGGGGCAGAGATACAGCCGCCAGTTACATGGGCTGCAGCCCACCTGTTCCTCAAGCCCCTCACGTGAAGTAACGGCAGGGTGTGGAGTCGATGTAGCAGTACTGGGTGCAGCGAAGGTCTCCGTACGACCTGAGGGAGGCAAGGATACTGATCAGGGTGGAGGCAGCAGAGTGGGCAGGGGCAAGCACATTCTAAAAAACGACTGGTGGTCCAACTGCGTTAAACTACCGTACCCCTGAGGACCCAGGTCTAGGAAAGCTTTTCTGCTTCATTTGGGGTCTGGAACTCTGAGAGGTTGAGTCAGAGGGACTAGGGTGGGAGGGACGGTTAGCCCCGATGCTAACACATCATCTATGAGACAGTCACCCCCTTCTCGATGCCTTAGGGTGTCCAGTGTTATCTGTGAACTCACTCAGTACTAATACAAGTGTCCTCTATTTGTGTCCAAGGGGCAGCATTGGCCTGGTACGGCTGCTGAGCTCTTGGAATTCAGCTAGTGTGACTGAAGAACTGAACCAAAAATCCTAATGATTTCAAAATTGAATAGCTACATGGAACAGGGCTACCATGTTGGAGAGTGTACTCTACACATCTGCAAATGCAAATGATAATCCCCAATGTCTTATCCACACGCATTCACAATGGTCTCTTGGAAGCTTCTAGATACCAGAGGAATAGCCCCAGTGAGCTGGTGAATGAGCCTTCGACTCCCAGTCAGATGTTGACAATATATGACTCTATGGAGCCCTTAAGCAGCTCAGTCAGGCCAGATTCAGTAGGTGGCTGTTAGGAGCCTTCCTTAGTTCAGGCATCGGGCAGTGCACACAGACACACGTATGTAGTGACATCCTGGCCAAGCCTACCCAGGGTTGAAGTCTGAGGGTGACTGGAGGTGTGCTACTCCATTCAGCATACGCTAATATGTGTTGGAGGGTGAGTGTTGAGGAGACCCCTCTCCCCGAGAGTACCGGATGGATGTAACTGTGGGACAGGTGATGTCTATTTCCCAGCCTGCTGAAGACCTGCTGGAAGGTAAGTGATGGAAACCAAAGCTGAGGTATTGGACTCATGGGAGACAGGTCAGCAGATGAGTGGCTCCCTAGAGCACCATATGGCTGATTCTGTGAGGGTCAGCTGAGCATGAGCCATTTAGCATCATTCTGCACTGGAAAGTTACATTCTGGGCAGGGGCTGGAGTCTGTAGGTAGCTTGAAGATGCCATTGTGGGAGTAAGGACGCTAACATATTTGAATGCCCACTGAGGACTCTCTAAGGTAGAGAGACAGGTCCTTGAAGGGGATATTTTCTTGGAGGGACCACGAACTGGCAAGATTAGGTATTTTTCCCTTTATATCTTAAAAGTTATGTGTGTGTCTGTCCCTGTCTCTCTCTCTCTCTCTCTCTCTCTCTCTCTCTCTCTCTCTCTCTCTCTCTCTCTCTCTGTGTGTGTGTGTGTGTGTGTGTGTGTGTGTGTGTGTGTGTGTGTATGCATGTCTAGGTGTGAGTGATGAGGGTGAGGATGTGCCATGGTATACATGTGGAGGTCAGAGGACAACTTTGTGGAGTCGATTCTCTCCTTCCACCTTTACACAGGTTCTGGGGATCAAACTCAGGTCACCAGACCAGCGTGGCAAGTGCCTTTTCCCACTGTGTCATCTTGCTGGCCCTACTTTTTCTTTCTCGTGGAACTGGGAATTGAATCTAGGCTTATTGAGCGATATCTTATGTCCCTAAGGTTACATATTAGTTCTGGTCTGATCTCCTTTGGATTTGTGGGAGGTGGGTATTGTGCTCTGGGCAGACAGATGGAGTCTGTGAAGTGCCCTCAGGCTCCTCGCTGCCTGCCTGCTGTTCTGCCCTGGCCCAGGATGGTGCTGACGGCTGTGGCTGCTCTGACTGAGGCCTCTTGGGGACCGTGACTACTACATGTTCACCAGGGGAGCATGAACTCTACCCTACCTCAGTGTCTACAAAGTACCAGGAACACAAAAGTCCCTTAAGAATATGTGTGAAGGAAGGCAGGAAGGGGAGGTGCTGGAAGAGTGTAGGAGGACTCTCTACCCAGGGAGATAGGTCTCGCATGTCAGGTAGCCAAAGTCAGAGCCGTCACAGTCTTCCACGCCCTGGTGCTGGTAACCGTCCCCACAGTAGGCCCGGTGACAGTCTAGGGAGACAAAAAGTATAGCACTGAGAACAGGAACAGGCTTGTCTACACAGCAAGGACAGTGTGGCCCAGTGGTGTCCCTAGAGCATTCCACCCACTTGAGAACCAACTTCTGGAAGGTTTCAGACTCACTCAGGACTGGACTAAGCATCACACTGACATACCAGGGTTCTGTATAGCACATCTGCCATTTACTTGACAGGGGGACAAGGGCCTTCATGTCATCTGCAAACCTGAGAAGGTGACACTGCCTCCCCTTCATAGAACTACTGTGGAATGTTGGTAAGGCAAGGCTTAGGGCACTGGAACGCCAGACCCCAGTGTGAGAGCATGGTGAAGCCTTTGTCAGCACAGAGCTCCGGGGAGGCAATCTACCACTAGGCTCAGCCTGTGTTCCTGAGGGACCATATGACCTCCACAAAGACCTCTATCTTTATACCAGCAGTAAGACTCTATCCATCCTCCATCCACCCATCCATCCATCCATCCATCCATCCATCCATCCATCCATCTACACAGGGTCTTGTTATGCAGTCCATACTGGCCTTTTTATTTTTGGTGATCTTCCTGCCTCAGTTTCCCAAATATGCTGCCATGCCCGGCCACCCTCATTTTTAGAGGAAATGGACACCTCACTACTTGGTTTTGATTGTAATGGCTCCATTCGAAGGGATCCAGGGAAGAGCCAGTGCCCCACAGATTGCCATCCAAATCTGCCAGGGGACTGGTGGAGCTGCACGATAGATAACAACCTCCCCTTGCTTCTCAACCCTGCTCTAGGTGGAACTTCAGCTCAGTGGCTGCCATCTGTCTCCTGAGGACGACAAGGACAGCAACGGTGCCCACACATTTCCAGTTCTGACCTCAGCAAACCGAGTCATGGATGGATGAACTGACCCCCAGGCACATCCAGACAACCTCCACACAGGTCCGCTGGAGGAATCTCTGAAGACATGAGACACTGGCATGTCAAGCCTCTCTTACAATCAAGAGAGCCAGGCCGGAAATGGCCCTCCACTGCCATCCAGAGCCAGCAGCTGAATTCTGTTCTGACTCTGAAAACTGTACTTCTACCTCATCTCCTGCTCTGATCACCTTATGTAACAAAACAAAACAAAACAATAAAAACTCAAAAATCAAATCATCAAAAACCCTCCAGAGCCGGGTCCCAGCTCTATCACAAAAGATGGAGGCAGCTTGCCCTGAGTGTCCACCTAGAAAAGGAGCTCCGGCTATCCAGTCTCAGCCTCTCCTGCCTTTCTAGGGTAACAAGTGAGGCCCATCACCTTCCCCTTCTGAGCTTGCAAAGTAGGGCTTGGAAGAAAGAGGGCCAGGGGCAAGGAAGGCCTCTCTGGGGGACATGATCCTGAACACCTCCCTGTTGACATGCTTGGGTGAGGGAAAAATTAACATGCAGCCTGGAATTGGGAAGGGGCTCTCCAAAGCAGCCCCTGGTCCACTGTCCCTTGCCTTTGCCTCAAACCTTCACAGCTGGTAGCCAGGGCTTACCCCACCCCCTTGGCTGTCAGGCCTCCCAGGCTGGGCCCCACTCACCAATGCAGTCGTCCCCCACATCACGGTTACCGTCGTCACACTCCTCCCCAGGCTGCAAGATGCCATCCCCACAGGTACCACGCTGGTTTACAGTGTAACCCACAGGGTAGAAAGGGGTCAGCTGGCCAAAGAAACACACAGCCATTAACGAGGGTGCCATGCCCAGGCAGCACAAAGCAGGCGAGTCAAATGTTCTGGGTCTAGGAGGCATCCCTTCGCTTCCTTCAGGGACCACGCTGGTTTACAGTGTAACCCACAGGGTAGAAAGGGGTCAGCTGGCCAAAGAAACACACAGCCGTTAACGAGGGTGCCATGCCCAGGCAGCACAAAGCAGGCAAGTCAAATGTTCTGGGTCTAGGAGGCATCCCTTCGCTTCCTTCAGGGAGGATGTGAGAGGCCATCTTTCCCAAAGGGAATCCTGGCTCAAGATGAGCGTCTGTGTGGGAATGGGGCTGAGGGGGGCTGCTCAGAAGACAGGGAGGGAGGATGGGTAGCTCTCTCCTGCAGACCCAGAAGAAGTGCAGTCCAGCCCCAAACGTATAGCTTTCTTCCCTTCTAATAGGAGTGTCCCTTTCCCGACTGAGGACAGGAGGGTCACAGCCCAATGGGCCTGCCCCAGAGTACCTGGATGGGGAGCCAGCCAAGGCTGTCTTTGAAGTACAACGATCGCTGGTCTCTGCGAAAGGCGATGGCATTCTGAGTGTTCAGCTTCTCCAGCTCCTCCTGGTTGTTGACCACAAAAATCTGCCAGAGAACATAGTGGTCAGGGTCCAGAAAAGCTTTCCCACTGGACAAGGAGAGACAGAGAAGACTGTTTGCTTCTCACAGGGAGGAGTTGGGAGGCCCACATCATGTCAATCCAGTTCAGAATACTTTGAAACAAAACTATCCACCTTGACTTCACATATTTAAATGTTTATTTTAGCATGTTACCAAGGCTTAAAAGACGATGCTAGAGGTAAGTAATTTGACACCTGGAAATGTCTCTTCAACAAGGATCATACGCAATGGTGATTGTTACAAGCAGTACTGTGTGTTGGAACTCAGGGCGCACTAGGCAAGCACTAACCATTGAACTACATCCTTGGCCAAAACACAACTCTTTCAGACAATATAATCTCAACCACATCGGAGTTAGTCTTGAAAGTAAAAAGTGGGGGGAATGTCCCTACCCTCTTGTTTTCTTTTGACTTTGCAATTTCCCACAGCGAGTGGGTAGCGGTTGTAACAAGGGAAAGTGAATTTTCCTAAAGAACATCACGAAGGCCTTTGACCAGGGAGAGAGCATCCTTGGCACCCACCCGGACCACGCCCTGAAGAGCCTTACCGCAGGAACTCTCGGGGAGCCCGGCCCATACATGGAGTCCGAGTGCAAGGGGTTGTTCACGTTCACGGGAGGTCCACAAAGACATCTTCCTGGAGGCCCTGGGAATCCTCTCTCTCCTTTCAGTCCCATTACAAGTTGTCCTAGGAGGCAACAGACTGTCGTGTTACTAGAGCCAACAAGTCAGGAGACGTGAGCAACCTGTGCACGGAAGAGAAGCGAAGACTTGAGGCAGGCGACAGGCAGGGGGAGAGGCTCCCCAGCCATGACGTCTAGGAATACAGGAAAACAGCCATCAAGCAATGGGCCTCCCCCCTCCACCCTGCCTTCAAGACACACGGACATCTGGTCCTGTAGCAGCCATAGTTACTAACAACCTGTGGGAAGGAGGAGGGTTTTGTTGCGACCTGCAGCCCTGAGTGTGACACCTGGAGTCTAATAGATCACCTGTTGACTATCACTAGATTTCCTTGTTGAAGAATGCACTCTATTTGTGACCATTATTTAAAGGGTCTTCTTGCAGATGGTTATGCAGCGGATGGAAAACTTTTACCATATTTAAAAAATGATTATTTTTATTTATTTGGAGGAGGAGGGAGGTTGTGCATCTCAAGGCAAGGGAATGGAGGTTGGAGGACAACTTTGGGGAGTTCCCTCCTCCCACCATCTGAGACCTGTAGATGGAGCTCAGGCCACCAGGCATGGCAACAAGTGCGTTTACCCACTGAGCCACCTTGCCAGTCCAACTTCAACTGTCTTTTTTGGTTTTGTTTTTCAAGACAGAGTTTCTCTGTGTAGCCCTGGTTGTCCTGGAACTCACTCTGTAGACCAGGCTGGCCTTGAACTCAGAGATCCACCTGCCTCTGCCTCCTGAGTGCTGGGATTAAAGGTGTGTGCCACCACCCCCTGGCCCTTTCACTGTCTCTTAAGTTTCTTATATAAAGGATATTACAGAGGAATTTTGGGGTATGTGTGTGTTTTATTTCTCCTGGAAGAAAACAGAACATTTTCTGCTCAGGGTATTTCTCTCCCCTAGTACTGAGAAAAGTCAGGATACATCCTGGAAGAGTATGATTAGGAAATGCACTCTGGCAATGTCTAGGTCTGTGGTTCTCATTTTGACTCTTACTCATCACTTATTTTTGATTTTTGAGATGAAGTCTTACTATATTGCCTAGCCTGGTTTTGAACTCCTGGATTCAAGCAATCCTCCCGACTCAGCCTCCAAAGTGACTGGAACTTCAGGTGTGTACCACTGTACTCAGTTTTGCCTGGACTTTTTTATGGTGTTTTCCTGGACGCTACAGGCTGACCAGGAACTTACTATATATCTCAAGCTGGCCTTAAAGTGGTAACAATTCTCCTGTCTCTGTCTCCCAGGTGCCGGGATTACAGGCTTAAGCCGTCATACCCAGATTCTTCAAACTGGCTTTTAAAGGCCCTGATGCCTGAGTCATACTCTAAGCAATTCCACACGAATCTCCAGACATCCGTGGCTTTGTTTCCTTTTTCAGTGCCATGGATGGAGCCAGGGCCTTTGCATAAGCCAGGTTAGTGCTCTGCCACTGAGCCACACTCCCATCCCTTAGGCATCCATAATTTTAAAAGATGTTTCCACTGTCCATCAAGATGGAGAACCACCAGGGAAATGGGATGTGTACAGAACATACCCCCATCAAATCATCTTTCTCACCCTCCATCCCTCCTTCTCCAAGGGTCTCTTCGGTTCCTTCTGTTCTCAGTTCAAACATCACTTCCTCTGAGAAGCCCTCTCACATCCTCCCACTCCGGCACATTTGCTCTGGTACATTCACTTACATCTGTTCTTCACAGCACTCCTTTCTGCTTACAAGCCTACACACTCAGATCATTCCATTAAGGTCTCTCTTCCCTCAGGGTAAGACTGACAGGGGCAGGCCAACACTTCACACATTTGGAACAGAGTGTCTATTCAATGACTGGATGATTGATTAGAGAGCAAAGGTCTTGTGAAAGACTGGAAGTCACAGCTGTCTGACAGTACAAGGAAAGAGAGGACAGGGAAGGATGAAAAGATTGATGAGCACATGCCCCTCCTCCGGAGACAACAGGGGCCGTTGGAAACCAGCCTGTCCTTGGTCTTAGGCAGTCAGTGGAGGCAGACGGGAGCTGGGAACATGTCTGTAGATGCTAGAATGGCAGCATATAATGTGAACCCAGGGTGGACTATCTGGCCAGGACCGTAGGGAAGAGGCCACACACTAAAAAGTGGAATGACCACCACCTTCAGCCTTCCTGAGCCGACTCACAAGCTGGTCCAATACCAGATGTCAAGTTACAGCTCTAACAAGGAACAGGAATAGAACTCTGTGGGAAAAGCTCCCACCTTAGGTTCTGATTTTTCAGAAAACTCTGAAGAGACAAAGACACCACCAGCTCCAGAACATCCTGGGTAAAAACCTGGGAACATGAGGAGTTTCCACCAGGAAAAGTGGGGCTGTGACAAGGAGAAACATGAGAGTGGCATCGGAGCAGCCTTCTGGAGTGTTCTATGACCCCAGAACTCCTCCAGAATATAGTCTTGGAAAGACTCAGGACTTTTCAGATTTAGTTAATCCGGTGTGGCTGAGACCTGAACTCATGCTTCGCCTAACTCTGTCCCATTCAGACGGACAGATCCAAGAATACGAGTTCTCTTGGGGAGCAGTCATTCCCGGGTGCCACATGGATTTGTTTATACCCTGTCTGGACACAGGAAAGAATTAGCCAAGTTTGTAATTGTATAATTGCAAATTACATCTTAAATTTTGCCTTTCTTCCCTCCTCACCACCATCCTCTTTCCCTGTAACTTGAGTCATTAAAAAGCCCCTACCCTCTCCCACTCCTCCAGCACCAGCTGGCCCCGTGGTGCTGAGAACCAGGCCCGAGGCAGCCTCCCAACAGGATGTGGCAGGGAGCCCGCCACCACCACCACCACCGCAGTTCCCCACTGCTTCCGCTTCCTCCCAGTTGGCAGAGGACATCCATCATCCTGCCAGCTTCCTGCCATGACGCTCTGAAGGGCACAACTTGAACTGCCTCACCCCAGCGTTTCTGCCATGCTCTCTTGTCAGAGGACCTTGCTCTCCATTTTTGGTCAGGAGCCTCTTGCAGAAAGCTGGTCAGGAGGGCATAGTGTGAGAAGACAGAGGAAGACAGAATGGCAATCAAAAGGCTGTGTGGGGCTTCTAGGAGCCACAGGTGGAATCTGGACCTCCACATGCACACTGTGGCGTACACACACACAGACAGACAGACAGACAGACAGATAGATAGATAGATAGATAGACACACAGACAGATAGACACTAGTATGGAAGAAAAGGGAAAGGAGGAAAGAAAGAAGCAAATCGCCAATGGCAGAGACGTAACAGAAGGACAGTGCACCTTGTTGGGAGAGGACAGGGTAGCAGAAGGGGAAATAGGGTACCCATCCATGAGAGATAAAACTAGAAGGTTGGGGAAGGAAGGAAAACAAAACTGTGCTGGCTGCTAAGTCCTTGGGTTCCAATTCTCAAGACTGACAGCACAAAATTGGCTTTGTGAGAACCTGCTCACAGCCCCCAGGCCCAGGAAGGAAGCCAAAGGCAGATGGGGCTAGGTTTACAAAGACACAGAAGCACAATGGGACCATTAAAGTCTGCCAACCACCTTCGTCTGCATCCACCTCACCACATGTTCCCAGAATCCTCAGGTTTTTAGCCCCTAAACACTCCAAACCCAAGAAAGTTCTTTCCACTGGCAAAAGCAGGCTTCCACCATGCTCAGTCCCTGACTGGTAGCTCATGGTGCTCCAAGAATTTCCAGTCGTAGAAATGCTGTAATGCCCAAGCATAGCCTGAGACAGTGATCTCCTCAGGCATCCATGGGCCATTAACATAAATAAGAGGTGGGCAAGGAGTAGGTCAAAGCAGGAGGGTCCTTCCTCATTGTTTTCCTGCCACAATTTACCAGATCTTCAGCTAACCCTTAGTTGATAGTTTAAAAGGTAGGAAAGAAAAAAACCCAAAAGTCTGGTTCTTCTTGGCATCTTGACAGGATGGGTCCAACAGAATAATCCTTCCATGATAACCTCACTATGTGTGGCAAACATGTTCCCATAAATACAGTAGGAGAAAGGCATTGCAGAATTTTTAAATGTTCCCATTTTATTAAGAAAAAAAGTTGTAATTAAAGTTGTGATTCCTTGGCTGGAGAGATGGTGTAACATGAACCTTAAAATGGTCTTTTAATGAAAAACCCCAGAGCCAGAAATTGGTGTAAATGCTGAAAGATCAGAGAAGTAGAGCAAGTCACCTCTTACCTCTAGGACTCCTCAGCCTGAAAAAGCCTCTAGTTTCTGTCTCCTCACCCCCTTATATACCTTTCTCTGCCCAGCCATCACTTCCTGGGATTAAGGACATGTGTGCTTCTCAAGCAAAGGCATTAGCTCTCAAGTGCTGGGATTAAAGGTGTGTGCCACCAGTGTCTGGCTCTGTGTCTCTCCTAGACAGAGTCAATCTCATGTAGTCCAGGGTGACTTTGAACTCACAGAGATCCGTCTGGGTCCCTAGTGCTAGGATTAAAGGTGTGTACCACCACTGCCTGGTCTTTGTTTAATCTAGTGCTTGTTCTGCCTCTGATCTTCAGGCAAAGTTTATTAGGTTACACAATATATCACTACAAGATGGCACAGAGGTTAAGAGCACTGGTTGTTCTTCCAGAGGTCTTGAGTTCGATTCCCAGCAACCGCATGGTGGCTCACAACTACCTATAATGAGATCTGGTGCCCTCTTCTGGCATGCAGGCAGAACACTGTATACATAATAAATAATAAATCTTTTTTTAAAAGTGTGTTAAAAATTGTTTTAATTGTGATTCCTTTCATATAACTGAGGATAGATCTAGGAATGCTGTCTTTTTACAAGTGATGTGCACTTAAAGGCCTTATGTTGAGCTGATAAAGGAATAAAATAAAGGGCTTACCTAAACAAATTAAATAGTAAAACAAGGTAGAAACATACCTAGTTCATCTTCAATGATGGACTCTTAATTTCTTTTTAGCAGTTCCTTCAAATGTACACAACATATCCAATGCAAATAAACAATCTTTCATCACACTGTGTAAGACAGAAAAATCTGCAATGCCTTCTGGGTTTAAGATAATGGTTGGAACAATGAAACACATTTTTCTAGAAAAAGATTTTAGTTGATGAAATAGGTACCCTTTTCACTGACAGTATAAATGACATCACCAATGTAATTTAGCCCCTCCCTACTTCCTGCATTTGTTCTCCAAAATGTTAAGATGAAGTTGAGTGAGCCAAATCATAGAGAAATCATGAAGAGATATGAAAAAGCCTCTGGCAGTTTCTGACAAGAAATACAATGCAGAGCTCTGCAGGCATCTCCTTGAGGCCTCTCTGGGGGACCTAGTTAGGAGTATGACTTATAGGTTAAGTGAAGCTGCAGATGAGGCACCTAGGGTCTTACCTGCAGATGGGGCACCTGGGGGCCCTGGAGGACCTTGACGACCAGGTTGACCAGTAGGCCCAGGCTTGCCTGGTGGGCCCATGATTCCACTGTCTCCCTTCTGACCCTGACAGATAGAAAGAGAAAGCCTGTTGTGATATGATGACATGACAAAGTTCCTTCCCCACTTACCTCTAAATCAGAGACCATATAGCTCAGACAAGTAAAAACTCATGGTGGGATATATCTGGTCTCCAGCACGCAGCCTGTGAGAGGGACAGAGCAAGTGATCTGTGCAAGTTTGAAGACCTCATTAAGTTCTCACTCTGTTCTAGAAACATGGCACAGGACAACAGAAACAATCCACCTCATCCCCTGGCATAAGTTAGGAAATGGAGTCTCAGGGTATTTGTGCAATGTTCTAGTATTGAGGTAGCTGAGGTAGACCTATAATTTAAGCTTTCATCTACTTGTTAGGATTACTTTCATTCTATCAGAACTTTCTACCCACAGACTTCCCATTGCTCTCTTGGTATAGACCCAGTTCCTTACTGAGCCCAAGAAGCAAGATATGGCCCTGCCCTCCAGCCTTGAGACAGAGTGTTTGTTTGTTTTGGTTTTTTTTGTTGTTGTTGCTATTGTTGTTGTTGTTGTTGTTTGAGACAGGGTTTCTCTGTGTAACAGCCCTAACTATCCTGGAACTTTGTAGCCCAGGCTGGCCTTGAACTCACAGAGATCCACTTGCCTCTGCCTCCCGAGTGTTGAGATTAAAGATGGGCACCACCATGACAGCCAGAGTTTGTTTGTTTGTTTGTTTGTTTTTGCTTTTAGTCAAAAATACCATGATTCTTCTCGCACTTCTCAAGAAAAGATTATCTTTGCACCCCAAATTCCTCTTTATGCCCCCTCTGCCTTCAGTTTTCAGCTCCTATGTCCAAGAACAAGGTCTTCCTTGATCTCGCAGGCTATACTGGTGTTCCTCACCGAATTCTCTCAACACTTTCTTTTTCAAGCTGGGAGTTGAAGTGCATGCCTGTCATCACAACACTCAACAGGCTGAGGCAGAGGGATTGCTGTTAGTTTAAACACACACCCCTGGCTCTTCCTATTTATTTCGGAATACTGATCATAGATTATTGTGTGGTCACTTCATCACTGTCTCCCCATGAGACATAAGTTCCATATGGGCTAGAATCCGCCATGTGCATCTTCTCTCCCCAGACCAAACGAAGGAGAGGAAGTTGGCAGCACATGGGGAGGGAGTTTTGATGATCTGTCTGTCAGTCAAGATAGTTTACCTTGACAGTGAGGCTGGATAAATCATGTCATTGCTTTATGCCTTGGTCTTCTCTTCTCTAAAGTAGGGCCAGTACATACAGAGCCACCTGGGTTCACTGTGAGGCTAACAAAGATGGCAGAAGTGAAAATGTGGTTTGTGAAGAGTGAAGGGTGGGGCTGGAGAGATGGCTCAGAGGTTAAGAGCACTGGCTGCTCTTCCAGAGGTCCTGAGTTCAATTCCTGGCAACCACATGGTGGCTCACAACCATCTACAATGAGAACCGGTGCCCTCTTCTGGCCTGCAGTGCAGGCATGTGTGCAGACAGAACACTGTATACATAATAAACAAACAAACAAACAAATAAATAAATAAAAATAAATAAATAAAAGAGTGAAGGGTGATGGGGGAGACAAGCTGACTGTCCTAGTGGCTGGCCAGGCTTCATCTTCTCCCATGGAGAAACAAGTTCAATTTTCTGAGAGCATTTTGGAGACTCTAGCTGGGACCATGACTACTTATATACTCTTAACCAGAGGACAGTCCTTTATCAGAGAAGGTCATCTCTATCCAATCATATAGCTTTGGAAGACATGCACGGAGCAGTGAGCTCCCTCTCAACAGCTAGACCACCTAGATCAACCATGATGGTCAACGGGATGACAGATGTCCAAGCCCAAACTCCTTTACACCTAAGAAGTCCTGGTTGCTTAAAGAGAGTCACACCTGAAGATACTCCATTTCCAATCATACACTGGCTCTGTGAGGTACTGTCCTACCAACATGGCCCTAGGGGTCTTCTCCATAATACCAGAGGAGTTCCTAAACTTGTCCCAGGGGACCCATGAGGTTAGTCTGTTTCCAATTCTGCACTCACAGAGGAGGCTGTTAATCCTCAGGCCAGGCTGAAGCATTCCACATGATAACCAAGATGGGTCCCAGAATGGCAAAGGAAGTCACACCAGCTTAATATAGCCAGTAAAGCTTGTTTTCCTAACAGCCAGGCCAGCTGGCTCTGAGCACAGGAAGTACATGGCTTGAAGGAGCTGGAAACACTCCTTGACTCTGACACCAAGAGTAGAGGAGTCTGGCTTAATTGGTCATTGCACAGAAGGGGCCATATCTTTATGGCAGGTGTCACTGAACCGAATTGTCCAGGGAAAGGACTCTTTATTCTGTATCTGCTGTGAACTCAGGAGGTTTCTCTTAAAGTCATTGTCTCCTTAACTGAAGTTTTTTCTTTCTCTCTTTCTCTTTCTTTCTTTCTTTCCTTTTTTTGTGGTTCTTGGACTTGAACTCAGGACCTTTTGCACTGGGTACGTACTCTACTACCAATCCATAATCCCAGCCCCTGGAGGTTTTTATGATCAGGTCAACAGCCGCTTTCCTGGACCTGCTTGGAGACAAGTCAGGAAGCATGGCCATGATAGAGAGCCATAGCAAGGGAGAGGAACACATGCTCAAAATTCTAACCCTGGCCTTGAAGTTGGCTCAGCTCAACAGTCTTGGCAAGCAACTCCACCGCACTGGCCCCTTGTTTCCTTGTGAATAGATGGGAGAGATCTGAAGGGAGTGAGATTGGATTAAATGATCTCTGAAATCCTGTGATGGAAACTGTATTCTAGAGTCTTCCTAGATTCTTGTTTCCTAGGTTTGGATTAACCTGGTTACTTCCAGAAATCATAGTCCTTCTGGATACATGACTCTACACTAGGAGATATGAAGGAAGCTCCAGGGCAGGCTTCCAGTAACAGTTGAGGGGTCTGCAGAGTAGAAAAGCACTGAAAGGCACACAGGTAAGCTCCTGCATCTTGTAAAGGGAGTGGGCTTCTTCCCTGACTCTTCCGAACTCTCCAAGTGGTTTTGGTGTAGCTCTTACAATCATTCCAATATAACTGTCATCACCAGGGTTGATATACAGCCTACTCGGCTTTGGCTTTACCAGGAAAGACAAACACTGCCCCAGAAAAGATCTAGAGGACAGAAACCAACAGTCTCTTCTTAGACTAATGTAGAACAATCTAGAATGAAATCATGTAGGGGAGAACTTTCTCCCTCTTTTTTTCTTTTCCTGAGCCTAGATTTAAGGAAACTGGCACCTGTAGCATGCTTTGGAAGCCATGTGACCACGGCCCCCTGGGAAACTGTCAAAACAAGGCTGACATTTTGTGACTTTAAAAACAAACTAAAAGAATCTTGCCATATTTGATTTAAATAACTGTACAAAAATAAAGGCCTTGTTTTCCATTGAAAACAGAACAAAACAATGTTACCGTGAGATCTGAATTATCCAGAGCCAGGTCACTTCTGCATTGACTTAGGGAAGCTCATCATTAGTTTCACAGGGTGACTGTGGTTCTGATTCCTGGCTGCACGTTAGAATCCCACGGGTGGCTTCAACAAAACACAGCACAAGCTGAAGTCGATTCCAGACCAACTGTACCTGGGACTTTAGGAAACGAGGTCCAGGCATGGGCGATGGGGGGAGGGGTGCGTTCAGAGGCAAGACCTAGAGGTGCAGCCACTGTAGCTGATGGAGAATCTGTGTTCAGTAAATGCCTCTGAGATGCCGACATAAACTGAAGTCTGAGCGTCCTCACACCAGCACAAGGAAAAGGCTTTGTTGCCAAAGATGCCCTCCTTTCAGCATTTCTCCTCCAAGCAAGCTATTGCTTCCTTGTTTATTAAAATATGATGTGGGTATTCTTAGAAGATGTTTAAAATGTATTAATATCTGCAACAACGAGGAGCTACACATTGTGATTTGAAGTTATAAGTGAAGGACAAAATAACTACACAGTGGACATAAAAGAAATAATTTTAAATACGAGAAGAAATAGCTCTGAACTACGTGTATCCTCAGCATGTCTGAGGTGGAAGCAGAGTTTGAGGCCAGCCTGGGCTACATGAGACTCTATCTCAAAGCAACAACAATAAATGAATAAACAAAGAAATTTTAAAGTGAAATAATGAATTATGGAAAGATATAATACCCAGATTAAACCATAACCACCAACAGAATGGAGATAAAAAGGCAACTAGCGGGATAGATGATTTCAGATATTTTCATGACAAAAACCAGTAAATATCTGAAGTGATATATGTATCTATTAACCTGACTTGATCACTCCACAATGTAGTTGTATATGTACATATATCACAGTGTACCCTATAAAATATAATAACAATTAAAAATAAAAAGTTTTACATATATGCTCAAAAATGACATTTTTCTTCTAACATACTAACAATCATTAACATTAAAAAGTATACCTAAGTATACAAATTAATAAATATTAATTTTCAAAAATTGGTATTATTTTCGCAAATTGACTTGTGTCTGTTGGTGTGCCAGCAGAGGCCAAAGGTCAACATAGGTATCTTCCTCAGTTCCTCTCCACCTTATTTTGAGACAAGGTCTCTCCCTGAACCTGCAGCTCATGGATTCTTCTGGAGTGGCTGAGACTCTGCCTCCCTAGTACAAGGATTACGGGTGTGCGCTGCCACACTGGCTTCTTCACGTGAGTGCTGGGGATCAACTCAGTCCTCATGCTTACACAGGAATCAATTTACCTACTGAGCCATTGCCCCAGCCCCTAAATAAAGCTGGATTTCAAATATCGTATTTGAAATAAAAAAGGCAACAAACATCATGATGATGATGATGATGATGATGATGATGATGATGATGATAATGCATATGTAGTAAGACCAAGGCCATCCTGGGTTACATAATGAGACCCTGTCTTAAAACAAACAAACAAAAAAACAAAAACAAAAAGTAACATGGCACTTCTCTCGGGTGTATCTGTACATTATCGAAAATGCTAGTTTTCCTGTGGCCATTTAGTGCAGGCCTCAAAACCAGTCCAGAAAAGTGAGCCCTGCTCCTTCCTTTCCCAATTCCATGACCTGGCTTTCCCTGCTGACCAGGAGGCTCAGAGCGAACAATTGCCCTAAGCTCTTAACAAACCCAACGAAGAGGAACACTTCCAAATTGGGGGTTTGTGCAGTGAAAACTGTCACTGAAGTTCAAAAGACCTGGTAGCCACAAGGACAGGCATAGGCTGGTCTCTAAAACTCAACTTACACCCTATATACTGAGGCAAAGAGCAGGTTTTCTGCAGAATGATCATTCCTAGTTACTTCGTTTAAGATATACGCGTTCCTATAAACTAGGGCCACTCTTGCTTCTGACCTTGAGTGGAGCCTGTAACCTTGAACCATGGCTAGCCAGGAGAAGCCTGAACATCAGTAACGAGGCTGCTCTGTCCACTCACCCTGAGGGTGCTTGAATCCAAGGCTGTGGAATAGTTCTAGATGACCTCTGCATGCTTCTCCACACATCTCCAGGCAGTGTGCCCTCAGTGAGGTAAACCCTGGGATCCTTACCTGTTTGCCTCGTTTTCCTGGTCTCCCGGTGGGGCCTCGGTGTCCTGCGAGCCCGGGTTCTCCCTTTGGACCCATTTCACCCTGGAGAGAAGAAAGAGAAAGAGTGGGCATGTCTATGCTGGTCTCTCCAATCACTGGCCCCCAAGGCCTCCTCTTCATCCTCTGTCTTTCCCAGGTAGGCTGTCCTGGGAGCATGGGAGACTGGTGAGCTCATATCCAAGGAACAGGAAAGAAAGAAGGCACCCCGAGGGTGTGACTCAGTGCTGTAGAGCACTTGGTGCTCTGGTGGTCAGAGAAACGGCCCTGTCCACAGCGGTCAGCGGTGGCTTCTGCACTTCGGTCACACACACGTCTGTGTCACTACAGACTGGGAAAAGCTAATTTCCCCATTTGTCTAATTGAAAATTTGTGTAATGGTTTGTTATGTTTTGTTTTTAGTACAAACTCACACATATGAGTTGGGGTTTTTTGTTTTTTGTTTTTTGTTGTTGTTTTAAATGTTTGGGAACAGTCTTGTCCACTGTAATGTTTGGTATTTTGTAGATTTATGTAGGATTATATACCTCTCCACTTTTTTTTTGAGATAGGGTCTCACTATGTTGCCCTGACTGGCCTGGAATTTGATATGTAGGCCAGGCTATCCTGGAATTCCTAGACATCCAACTACCTCTGCCTCCTGAGTGCTGGGATTAAAGGTGTACACCACTCTGTCTGGCAGTTCTCCACACTTTAGGAAGTATTATTTTGAGTTCCAGCCCACTTCTACCTATTCAGACAACTCTTCTTTTTGAGATGGGGTCTCCTGCAGCTCAAGCTGGCCTCCACCTCTCTATGTGGCTGAAAACCACCTTGAATCCTTTTGCTCCACCTCCCTGGTGCCGGGATCACAGCAATGTATCACTATGCCCAGCTCAGATGAAACCCCTTCCTGTGAGGAGAGGTGTTTCAAGTATGTATTCAAAGAGTCACCATAAAAATACTACTAAAATCTGAAAAATAATGCAAATTACATTTCTAATTGAAAATAACGTTTTCATAGTTCAAGGCCAACCTTCCTCAAAACTTATTTCTCAGACTGTCACACACACACACACACACACACACACACACACACACACACACACACACACACACAAATACATTTCTTCCCTCCATCTTAGCTTTTCCTTACTTTTGCCTGTCTAGGATTCCTGTCCCACCTGCTGCTTCTGGGGATTGTGGACCCACGGGGCACATCATTTCTACTTCAAGCAATTGCCCTGCATCCCAAACTGCACCCCCAACACCATCAGTGCAGCAATTGCTACCAGGAAGTTTTTACTTATCAGTAGCCAGTGCCCATGATGGACTACCCTAGCCGCTCAGAGATAGTAACGGACACCCAGGATCCTTTTAAGGCTCCCTAACACGATGGAAAATTCCAGAGGATATCTATTGATGGTGAGGATCAAGCCCAAGTTTACCTTTCAGCCCAGCAACAGGAACACTGTCTCTCCTCAACTCACTCAGCAGTTAAGAATGCTTACTGGTTTTCCAGAGGACCCAAGTTCAGTTCCTAGCACCTATATCAGGTAGCTCACACTGCCTGCAACTCCAGGCAGTGAATGGTAACAAAACTTTCAACTCCAAGGGTATCCAAGACCTCCAACCTCCATAGGCATTGACACTTACGTGCACATACCTACACATAGACACACATGTACATACAATTAAAAATCAGTCTTTAGGGCTGGAGAGATGGCTCAGAGGTTAAGAGCACTGACTGTTCTTCCAAAGGTCCTGAGTTCAATTCCCAGCAACCACATGGTGGCTCACAACCATCTGTAATGAGATCTGGTGCCTTCTTCTGGCCTGCAGGAATGCAGGCAGAACACTTTATACATAAATAAATAAATCTTTTTTTTAAAAAGTCAATCTTTAAAAAAGAATTTTTCTTGAGTCCATGTAGTCATTCGACCATGTTGTCCTTCAGGATGCTCAGTGGTAAGAGTATGATGGGTCAATGGGCCATGGAGATGTTCCACAATTCCCCAGGGCTCCTTAAAGAGACTCAGGGCATGTCTTGCTTGGCTAGGAGAAAACAACACCATTAAAAAATATATGAATTTTTAAAAAGAGATTGTCAGAAGGAAGTGTGGCCCTTCTCTTTATGAACTAGAAGCAGCCCATAATTTCTTGATCTAATTTCTCTCCTAAGACCTAATTATGGTTATCATATCAGCTCTGTCTTAAAACAGCCTGCCATGAAAGGGGGAGATAGCTCCTGTTGCCAAGTCTAGGAAACAGTGCAGAAGCCAGGGAAACTGTCATATTTAATTTTACAGTGATTTATGAGTCTTTGATGGGCACTGTTGCAGGGAATGAAAACCTAGACCAAATATCTTAAGGGACTCACTTCTCTTTTGAGGTTTGCTTTGTTTATATAATTACTCTATTTTTAAAATGTAGCATCCCGGGTTGGGGATTTAGCTCAGTGGTAGAGCGCTTGCCTAGCAAGCGCAAGGCCCTGGGTTCGGTCCTCAGCTCAGGAAAAAAAAAATGTAGCATCCCATCTAGGATAGCAGGAATTGAGTTTCTGACAGGTTAAGGTAAGGATAAGTCACACAGTGACTTGCATAATGACTGAAAGTACTTCATTATGCCCTGATGGCTGGGTACTGCCCAATAAAAATGTTACACTTTAGGAAGTAACACTTTAAAGTGAATGTTTAAAAATAATTAAAAATACTAAGAAAACACTTGTTTGTCTATGTAAGAATTTCAGTTTGTGACCTAGGTAAAGATAACACTTTCCAATGTCAATACCTTACAACATGAAGATTCAGCATTACCATGCTAGCTTAGGTGGCAGTTTGAATGAGAAGGACCCCCATAGGCTCACATATTTGATTGTTTGGTTACCATTAGGTGGAACTGTTTGGGAAGGATTAGGAGGTGTGACCTTGTCGGCAGAGGTGTGTCACTAGGGTTGGACTTTGTGTTTCAAAAGACTTGTGCCATGTCCAGTGACTCTGACTCACTCTCTCTCTCTTTCTCTCTCTCTCTCTCTCTCTCTCTCTCTCTCTCTCTCTCTCTCTCTCTCACTCGCTCGCTCTCGCTCTCGCTCTCTCGCTCTTGCATTTGTGGATCTAGATGGAAGTTCTCAGCTATTTGATGCCATGTTTTTCCTCCCCTATCATGGACGTAAGCTTCTGAAACACTTTCTTCCATAACTTGTCTTGGTCACGGTATCTTATCACAGCAATAGAAAAGTAGCCAAGACAGCTTAGGGGCTGTCCTACACAGTCAATGTTTCACATCATGAGGGCCCAGTATTTTCATGTTAGCTCAGGAATTGTTCAGCATGGTCAGTAACTTACAGCATTGAGGACCTAGCACTATCATGTCAGGGGCTGTTTTACATGGTTAATGCCTTACAATGTAAGGACCCAGTGTTTCCATGTCAGGTTGGGAGCTGTTCTACACGGTCATGTATGCATCTTTCTTTTAGGCTATGACATTTTCCCTCATTCAACACCCAGCCTTACTCTAGATCCTAAACTTAAGTAAAAGTGCCCCCAAATCTGTCAGTCTATTGCCACCTTCACAATTTTTGTTATATCAATATATCACCCCATGGTTATTTACTGAATGATTTTTTTTTAAGATCTATTTATTTATTATGTATACAATGTTCTTCCTGCATGTATACCTGCATGCCAGGAGAGGGCACCAGCTCTCATTACAGATGGTTGTGAGTCATCATGTGGTTGCTGGGAATTGAACTCAGAACCTCTGGAAGAGCAGCCAGTGCTCTTAACCGCTGAACCATCTCTCCGGCCCTGAATGGTTTTTCTTTAACACCTAAAACTGTCTCCTTTTAAAATTGGGCCTGTCCTAAGTGAGATACTGAATATCTCACTGGTTAAATAAAATAGTTGTCACTTTTTAAAATAATCCTGTGTCCCTCCAACAGTGTTTGCCACCCTTGAAGACTGTATTGAGTGTTTAGGCAGCAGTGAAAATTAATCAAACAAATCTCTAAGTTGCTCCAGGGTCTGAGGGATACGAAGGGTCTTGACCACTGTGGCTCAGACAGGAGATTGGAATCGCTCCTCACAAAGCTTCCGGCTTTTGAATCATGCCATTGAACTCCAGGAGGTAGAAAAAGCAAAGAGGGGCCTCTCTCCATGGTGTGTGTATGGAGAGAGTGGGAAGAGCCTTTCCCACTAAACTGGAGGTTGACCTCAGACCTCCCTGCTACCCTCTCCCAGTGGATAAGACAACTTGGTCCCCATCTCAAACTGGAACTTTCCACAGTCAAAATCAATGTTTCTGCCTGAAGGACCAGAAGGAGGCTCCATTTGCTGTTTGGAGGACCTGAGGTCTGTCATCTCTACTTTTAGACACTTACTTTCTGCCCCAGCATTCCAGGAAATCCAGGGAAACCCTGTGAAAAGAACAACAAATACTGTGACTGTTTGGAAATGCCACTTGGAAGTGGCTGTGGATAGATTTGGTCAGCCATTTTTATGATGGCTGTCCCTCAGTCCACAGGTGGGGAGCTCCCACTTCTATTGCAGCACATCACTTGTACAGATTTGCCATTACCTTTTCTCCTTTGGGACCCAAGTCACCCCTTTCACCTCTGGATCCCTAGGAGAAAACCAAAAGAGGGGGTCAATGCACTAATATGGCACTTGTGTGTTTATGTGGGGCGGGGGGGGGGGGGGGGGGGAGTAGGGATAGGAGCATTTCAAACTGATAAGCTCCCTAGGCCAACACCTTCATTTTGACAAAGCTCTAGGCTCAGATAATAGGTAGCTTGCCCAGTCAAGGCATGCTTTCTGGTTAGACCCCCTAAGACCTCTTAATGTTAGTTAGTAAAGGGAAACAGAAAGTTCTGGGTCTCAGATCCTCTTATCTCACAGGGCATGTGTCCGCAGGTGCCTGTTGGTGTTTGTTTTATTTTAGTAGAAAAGAAGGCTTGTGTGATAGAAACCTGGCCTAAGGCTAAGTCCCCTCTTCCAGCACCCCTATGCTGACTGAGGATAACTCCCTACCTGGCTCTCATTTGTTTCCCTGCTCCCTGTCAGGGGCAGGAGCCTCACTGGGAGGTCCTTTTTAACCAGAATTGCCCTGCCCCAGGAGGCCCCTCTTCTCTCTCAGCCCATACATGATAAAGGACAGAGTAGCCTGGAATGATGGCTGCAGTTGATATCTGAAGAGAGAGCTGGGCCTGTCTTCCACCCACCCCCAACTCCAGAGCTGTGTCCAGACCAGGATCTGGGATGCCAGGAGAGACACGGACTGACCTTTTCCCCTCTGGATCCAGGGAAGCCCTAAAAGAAAGCAGACTGTTTATAATCAGCCCCCAAGACAGCAGAGGAGGTGGGGGGGTGCTGTAAGAACAGAAGGACTCCCAGAGTATGCTGTCTCTGCACTCTATTGTGAGTTTTAAGGGGCATATAGCCATAAACAGGAAGATGTCCAGGAGGCTTGTGTTTATACTATGCCTAAAAAAAAAATGTACCTTTTCTCAGCCCTCAAAAGCCTAATCCGGAGGCAAAACCATGATAACCAAAGAGAACAACAGGAACAGGATCCCTGTGTCCCTGCACCCCAGGGCATGATGTCCCCCAAAGGGCTAACTCCCCAGCACAGGGTAACAGTCCCCCAGTCCTGCCCTCCCCATCTTTGTAGACAGCTGCCGCTCCCCAGTCATAGTGAGAAGGCCTGGGAATGTCCCTCTGGACCACACACTGACCTGAGAGCCCATTGGTCCTCTTGACCCTGGCAAGCCCATCATACCCAGGTCACCTTTTTCACCCTGTGGCAATTAGAAGATGGAAAAGAAGGACCACAGTGATATTTCTTAGAGAAACAGAGACAGGGGTTGTGGGAAAAACTGGGATGGAACCAGGGTGTTGGATCTGGGTTGTAAACTTGAGGTCCCATATGCCCCTTTGCCTCCTCCCAGGGCTCCACTCTCCACCTTTCATTGTGGTCAATGAGATTAATACAGAACAAAAATGCCCAAGATGGTACCAATCACCAAACTAAATACTCACTAAGAAGCTGTAAATGGTGATGTTTGATCTTTTCCTGGAAAGGATTGTGAGAGGGTGGGGAGACAGCGTGAGGGCCTCAGAAAATAGGCTTGCCACACATACAAATTCTTTGCCTGATTTGCTTTTTGTATAGGGAGGGCCTTTCAGACATCTCATTATACTCTCACCCTCAGTTTGAAGCCAAGCGGAGGGACCAATCAGCCCCGGATAGATAAACAGAGGGGGTGGTGAACAAGTAGGGTGGGCTCCGTTGTGCCTCAGAATAAGTTTGAATCTTAAGCATTCTCTATACTACAAAACTGCATGACACCTCTAATTAGTAGAGATATAAAGTCAACTGTATGCTGATTGGGGGGATTAATTTGTGGGGTTTTTGTTTTTTGTTTGTTTGGTTTTTTTCTTTGTTTTGTTTTTAGTCTGTTTTTGTTTTTTGTTGTTGTTATTATTGTTTTGTTTTTTTAAGGCACGATCTCCTGTATCCCTGGCTGGTCTCAAATTTAGGTGAAGATGGCCTTGAACGGATGCTCTTGCCTCTACCATTGAGTGCTAGAATTATAGGAAATGTACCACCATGCCTGGCTGCATATTCTGAATTTTAAATATCTTTATAAATTACCTTAAATGTAAAACTAAGCAAGTGAAATTAATTTTGCCAGCATTTTACTTTCATTTAATCTAATTGTCACTTCAACATGTAATCATTGTAAAATAATGAGATTTAAAACTACATTCCATTTAGTGTGTGTGTGTGTGTGTGTGTGTGTGTGTGTGTGTGTGTGTGTGCACCACAGCACATATATGGAGGTCAGAGGACCACTTCTGGAAGTTGGTTCTCTCCTCCCACCATGTGGGTTCCAGGGATGGAACTCAGGTTGCCAGTCTTGGTGGCAAGCACCTTCACTCTCTCCCCATCCCCGAATACAGTTTTATAAATTAAAACTTGGGGAAGGCAAAGTGAAACCTTCTCTTCTTCATTTATATTAGTCACATTTCAAGGGCTTCCCAGCTATATGTACGTGCCTGCCATGATAGACAGCTTAGCTCTCTATAGTCGGGATGTTTGTTTGTTTGTTTGTTTGTTTGAGCTAGGATCTCACTCTAGCTCAGGCTGGTCTGGAATTTACTTTGTAGCCCAGGCTAGCCTCTAAGTCCTGGTGATCCTACCTCAGCCTTCTGAGTACTGGGTTTGTGAGTACGAGCCACTGTGCCTGGCCATGCAGTGAATTAAAAGCTGCCTGCACGTATGCATGTGTGCCATGTACATGCCTACTACCCGCAGAGGCCAGAGAAGGACATCGGATCCCCTGGAACCTGAGTTACAGATGGTTGTGAGCCACCACGTGGGTGCTGGGAACTGAACACAAGACCTCTACAAGAGCAGCATCACTCTTAACTGTGAGCCAGCTCTCTGTCTCTGCAGCAAGGATACCGTGGGTTTAAAGATAAATCTCCTTGGGATATTTGTGTCACCAACATAGCCAGGAAGATGGAGCAGCAGAGGACATTTGCTCTCCTTGCCCTGGCTTCTGCTGGTCAAATTTCCAAGTCATGGCCTCTGTACCCTGCACCCTGTGACAGGCAGCAAGAATATGAAATAAGGGAAGATGGGGGGGGGTTAGCTTTGCATACTCCCTCTGAGGAGGGGGTAACCCCTTGCTCGGTGTAGGATCTGCATTTTCCAGGCTGCCAATACTCCACACTTTCTACCTGCCAGATCAGCGTGACGGGATAGCTCCCCAGACCCGGGTTCCCTTTGGGTCATCTCAGAGAAGCCAAAGACTAGCACACTAATTCTCAGGACAAAGGGGAAATGGGGCTCCTGGGAAAGAAGAGAACAGGCCCCACTTCTCCCTAGGAGAAGAGTCACAGCACTAACCCGGGTCTGCAGACCACATGAAGGAGAAATGCTTGAGGGCTGGGGGCTCCCTTCCAGCTCTTCTCCATCTCAAGGAAGAGATGCATGTGCTTGACTGTTGGCCAGGACCCAGGAGGTCGCCATCTTCCCCCTCATGTTCTGATACCACATGAGCCCCAACACATAAGACACTTACCCTGGGTCCTTGAGGGCCTGGCCAGCCAACGGGTCCGGGCATGCCAGGAACACCTGGGGGTCCAGGTCTACCCTTCAAAGACCAAGAACAAAAGTCAAGATACCCTGGTACGCTTCCCTCCAGCCAAGAATATTTGGGGTCCTGATAAGGTATAAGGCCACTAAGTGTGTCCCCCTGTACCTCCATCCCTACCCTCCAAAGAATGAGGTACTAAAAAACCATGGCACACAGGTATGAGTTCGGTTTTTGGTGTCATATTATATTATCAAACAAGGTTTTATTCTTCTTACGAAATAGAGACCAGTGGGCAGGGAGGTTCTGAACGCCTTAGTTTTCCTTTTTTGTCACTTCTGTTCACTGTTCCACTGGCCCTTGCTTCCTGTGGGTTTTCCACAAGGCCGTCCTGTGATGTGAGCCGGGACTGTGTGGGGAGCAGCAGTGGATGCTGCTGGAACTCCCTCAGGCATTCTGCCTGCTTGAGGCGCCATCCCTCAGTGGCTACCCTGTTGACTTCTACCAAAGCCTGAAACCTTTAAGTTCACTTTGGGGCTTTGGAGCTTCCCAGTCACTTATGAACCTTCCTTCCTACAGCCAAGATCCCAGATCCCTTACCATCAAGGTATCAAGGAAGGACAAACAGACAGGCAATCCACACCCCCAAGTTCAGGCTACTGGAGTTGGCCACACTCTCTCATGACCCCTTCACCCCTCTTTACAGCTTCCTCCTGACAGTGCTCCCTTTGCAATTTATTCACTTGTCTGTGTCTCTGCTTCCAGAGAACCCCACCTCAGCTAAGTGAAAGAGGACAAGAGCATAGATTAAGGGGTCTATCTTGGTCTCCACACTCGGTGGATCACTTCACAGTTAGCTAGGGATTTAAAGGTTCAGCCAAGAGCTCAGGAATGCCAGATGCTGGTGTGTACACTCTACTTTTTCTTTCCACGCCCATGGCAGACACTACTTATCAACACAGACCTTGATGCATCTGAGCATAGACCAGCCACAGGATCCTCTCCAGGTCAGCAGTCTACACAGCCACTGAGCCGTGGCTGCCCTTGTTATTTGTACCTTGCAAAAGCCTGTTTATGGCTTCTGTTGGTAATAAAGCCACTGGCATCTTTTCAGCTAGATTTTCTCTTCTTTCAATCACAGTCAAGACTAGAACTTGAGTGCCAGCACTCACTGACTACAGCGACATCACCTGCTGGTTCTTTCTCTGAAGCTAATGATGTCATGTGGCTGGTTCACTCTGAGCCACGGTAATTTCCAAAGCCACTCATTCCCATCTGCTCAAGCACTTTATTCCAGTTTAATCAAGTAGCGAAGGTCATTTTGTGTCACTCTTTGGAGAGTTCTCTGCTGGGGGGGCGGGTGAGGCTGAGGAAGTGTGGCCAGACCCTGTAGCCTCTCTGCAAGGTTTGCCAGACGCCAGGAAAGGCAAGCATGCTGACATCACCAGAGGGATGGCAGCACCAGCCCTCCACCGGGTACTGGTAGCCACTGAACACACACACACGCACGCACGCACGCACGCACGCACGCACGCATGCAGCACCATTGCCCGACAGAGCAGCATGGGTCATACCTTCCTTCCTGGGCGGCCAAGATCCCCCTGTGCATAGAGAAGACAGATAAACAAAGGTTGTTTGGAAGAGAAGTTCTGGGGTCAGAATGCTTACTAGGACGTGGCTGTGCCTCAATCAGTCAGCTGGTCACTTGACCAGTTAGAGCACGTCTACCATGCCAGTGGCCCGAAGCAGGACACACCAATAGCACCCCCTACTACAGCTGCAGCCCTTCATCAGGGAGCCCTCCTCATCTGCTAAGACAGAATGAGCACATATTTTGATATCTCAACCAGAGCATCCTCAGTGGCACCCCCAGAAAGCAAGCTGTAGCTACAAAGGCGAGGTGGGACTAGGAAAGCGGTGACTCATACCTTTTCTCCCTTTGGTCCTGTCTTGCCAGGAAGCCCGGGTGGACCCTACACAATCGAGATAAGAAGTCAAGAAAGCTGTACCCAACCAAGGCGAGACTGCAGGGGAGGGTTTGTGGTAGTGGCCTGTGGCCCTGGACCTTTACAGGGCAGGCAGACTCTGTGGGGGCTCCAGGCACCCCTGCAGGAGCCTTTCCATCCTGCAACACCCCCACCCCACCCCACCCCACCCCACCCCACCCCTGTGTTCCTCTCCCTCCTGAGCTTTCTCAGCATGGTTTCATGGCACCATAGTTGCCCCTCTCTGGATTTTAATTTCCTCCCTAGAATCCTTCAGTGCTTGATAAGATCAACCACAGAGTCTTGAAGAAGCCCCTCAGGGGAGACTGTGATGCTCCTTGGCCTCAGGGATCCTTCACTGCCTGCACCATGCTTCCCGGGGCCCCACCAGGAGGGAAAGTTAAGTTTTGCCTAGAGAAGCAGCTGATTCCAATATTCCCAGGGAGGAGTGGGGTTTAGTGGCCCACTCCTGTAATCTCAGCATTTGGGAACTAGAGACAGGAGGATTGAGAGTTCAAGGCCAGCCTTGGCTGCACCAGCAAGTTCGTGGCCAACCTGGACCACCTGAGACCCTGTCTTACAAATAACAAACAAACAGGATAAACAAGACAAAAAGAAGCATTCCCACAAGTGAGCTGTGGGTCTCAGTGCTGGGCAATCCTCTCCTCCCCGCTCTCATTAAAGTAAGGCGCATGTTTGTGTCCCATTGCCAGCCATAGGAGGTGGGTGGCTCCAGCCAGAGGCTGTGGAAACACCAGTGTTTTGCACATCCACAGCCAGAAGCAGCTGTTTTCTGTTCACACGTCTGTGGTAAGTTCAGTTGATGACTGTTTTCCAAATTCCTGGGGATGGCAGAGAGAAATCCCCCCAAATCCCTTAGCTTCCACCGTCCCCCTGCTGTCTGCAAGTGAACAGCACAAGGCAAAGCTCGTGAGAAGTGTGCTCTCTCCAAACCCTGCCATCACACTACAATTTCCCCAGGAACTTTGAAAACTCCCAAAGCTCAGGCCATACCCAGACCGATCAAGCGACTGTTGGGGCAGTGGGAGGGAGTTGGTGAGAAAATAAGCACTAGGCATGTTTAAAGTTCTCCAGGGGTCCTCCCATGAAGATAAAATTGGGAGACACCACCTTTGCTTTACCTGCCTTCTGTTTTGGAATGAAGTCGGGAAGTTGTTTTAATTCCATTTTCTTCATTCTGCCAAGCCTTCCATTTCTTGAAATGGTTAGAACTATTCTACAAGATCATTGAACTTGGAACCCACCAAACAAATACAGATTCTGATTGAATGAAGAGGGATGGGCAGAGTGTGAGATTCCCCTCCCTGCCTTCCTCCCTTCCTTCCTTTTTTCCTTCTTTCCTTCCTTCCTTCCCTCCTTCCTGTGATGGAAGTCTTACCCTAGCTGGCCTGGTACTCACGATATAGCTCAGGCTGGCTTCAAACTCAAGGGCTAAGTTAATCACCTAGTGAGATTGCATTTCTAACCAGTTCCCACATGATGCCAGTTGCAGACTTAGAGATCTCACTTTCAGTAGCAGCAGCATTCACTGTCCTAAGGGAACTGAGGTGGCTGCACAGACTCCACGGGTGGGCAGCAGAGCCTCCATGTGATTCTGAAGAGCTTGTGGGAGCTCAGAGATGCACTAGTGTGAGTGGGGCTGCTGTTCTGAGCCGAGAAGAGGATTCCTTCCACACGCTCTGTTGGTTCTCATGAGCATCAATACCCATCAGAAAAGAGCGCTGCAGGTGGAACGTCCACCTTAACGGACTCTCTCCGGCCTTTGTGCAGACTTCTCAGCCACTTTTTGGTGGCCTCTGGCCTCTGAGCTCAAAATCATTTTCATTATAACATTCTTAAGATGTTTGTATTGTTTCTTTCCTTGTTTATTTTGTTTTTGAGACAGGGTCTCTTACCATGTAGCCCAGACTACTCTTAAACTCAGGATCCTCCTGCCTCAGCCTCCCAAGTGCTGGGATTATAAGCCTGTCATCATACCTGGGTCAATAAATGTTTATGGAGAAGAGGCTAGCTATAGCCCACAGGTGGAGTAGACTGGGAAGCAGGATGAACAATATCCCTGTCCCTGTAGACATGGGATCAGTAACCTTTCCTCTACAAAGCCAGAGAATAATTCTCTTAGGCTTAGAGGGTCATATCTGCTGTCTGCCAGATTCCTCAGCTCTGCCCTGATAGCCTGGAAACAGCCACAGAAAGTAAAACCAGAGTTAGAAACCAAGACGGGGCTAGATTCAGTGCTGTAGATTTAGATGTGATAATTGCAAAAAATTCTCCTGTCTATTCCTCTCCTTCCCTCCCTACCACCTCCTGAGATATGATTTCATTCTGTAGCCCAAGCAGTCTTAGAACTCACTATTTAGTTCAGTCTGGTCTCACACTCATGGTAATCCTCCTGCTTCAGCCTCCTCTGAGTGCTGGAATTAGAGCTATGTGTCACCATGCTTGACTGATAAAGGTATCTCTAGGGAGGCAGCATGAAAACCAACTTTTGAGTGACTAAGAGGAGTTGGTAAAAATGTCAGGAAGAATAGTGTGGCCCTGACTGCACGAACCGAGGCTGAGAAGCTCCGTGTATGTGAGGAAGAAAGGCAAACATTGTAGCTAAGTCAAAGGTGGAGTGTGTGTACGTGCTGATGAAGCAATCCAAGCTAGGGTCCACTCGTGGAACTTTGTCTTCCATGTCAGGAAGTTCAGTTTTTAGTCCCCTAATACTAGGAAGCCACAGGAGGTTCATGTAGCTGAGGGGTGATTTCTATGCCTCCTGCCTAGGACAGCACAGGGCCCTACATGCTCCTCCCCCCCGGGAGGACCTGAGCCTCAGAGCAGTTGAAAAAGCCCTCATGGCAGCAGGCCAGCCCCAGGATGGGGGTCTCTGGAGTGCACTGTTTGTCTGGAAAGTTCTTTGTCTAGCAACTTGCTCGTTCCTCACTCTTCTCTTTTACATTGGGTAGGGGCTGCTTATAGCAGTCCAAAGTCAGGAAAGCTCAGGTAATCAGTCCCTCTAACCACCACTTTCCTGCACTGAGCAGGAGCACCTTTAGGTCCGAAGGTCGAGTGGATGGTCACATCTGTATTTGGTGATAGTGCCAACAACAGCCACTACCATATGGGCAGCATCCTATATGAGACCCTCAGATCTATCACGGCAGGTGACTCTTCACCAGAGGCTCCTCCGGGCTCTGGAGCTGGAGAGCCTCTACAGGAGAAAAATCAGCCATAGGGGCAGGAGCTACAAGGCTCTGCCATTAAGTTTCTTTGTCTATGGGAAGACACAGCAGGGGGCCTGGGAGGATGTACCCACCTGGGGACCAGGGGGCCCAGGAGAGCCGAGTGAGCCTTGAATGCAGGGTGATGGTGAGGCCTCAAGTTCCAGAAGATTCTTCATGTCTGGAGAGAGAAGCTTCAGAGTAAAGCCATGGGTTAGAGGTCAGACCAATGAAAGATGCCTCCCTGGACTCGACCCTGCTCTGTGTCTATGCAGTGGGAACCTCTGGGCTCTTTTTTCTCTACTTTGGTTTTTAATAGAAAATAAGTCGCCGCAGACTGCGGTTGTCCTAATGCCGCACATCTAACTGCCTTCTGACAACATTCCCTAACCTCTCTCTGCCCTCTTCCCCATTTCTATCCTCATACCCCGTCTTCATCTCCCCTTCTCCCATCCTTCCCCCATCCCAAGGATTTCACAAATACTTGATTTTAAAAAAGGAAATGAGGGAGTCCTGCATCTGAACGGCTGATGGGAACTTGGAAGCTGTGAATGCACCTTGGTGTTTTCAAAAAGATGAGGCATTTTGCTACATCTAACTCCCAGGTGAGAAAAAAACTCCCTCCTTCGCAGATTTAAGATGGCAGGGGAACAGATGTGTGGCGAAATTGGCACAATTGGTACAATGCCCACTCCGGGCCTTGGCCCCTGAGTGAAGGTAGAGCTGCCCTTCTCATGTGAGATTCTGAGGTGGCCATGTTGAGCCAGGTGTGGGGCTGACATGGGGGAGTCTGGGGATTTCACTCACCGACGTCCAGAGCACTCACCGGGCTTCTGCTGCCTCTGAAGAAGGGTGGTGGGAACAGCGGGGGGTGGCGGCGGTATCAGTAGGCAGCATGCTCTGTGGCTGCCCCGCTTCTTCTGATCCAGGCCAGGAAGGGCTGTTCAGAGAAAACTGCTGCTCCTTAGCCTGGGGCTAGGGTGATGACCTGGTCATGCCCACCACGCCCAAGGGACATTGCTGGCCTGTTTGAGATGTGAGCAGGCCCCTGTTTGTTGCCTGACACAGACCTTCCCTTTGCCTCTGCTAGATGAGGCTGGCATAGACACTGATGTGTGTGTCCTTTTCTCCTTCAGAGACTAACTTTGTAGGTGTGAGAAGGAATATAAAGTTTAGACAGACCTGTAATGTGGCCCCACAGCTAAGCAGAAGGAAGTGCTTGTGGACAACTGTGATACTGTCTCAGGAGGAAACTGTTTAGACAGAGAGGTAGCCAGGCTGGAGGTGGCACTGATTCCAAGGTGCTCAGAGCATGGTTTGAAACAGACTCTATCCACTCACTTGGGTGCTCCATCTCACTAGAGAGTCCCACTTAAATGTCTTGATCTAGGTGAGCAAATCCCCGGCATAAGGAGGCAAATAGGCCACTGGACTTGTACAGCTTAGTTTCCGCAGAGTCTTATCTATGTTTGGCCTTAATATAGGGTCAGTGTTATAGCATGCAACAAGACAGATTCCACAGTACGGCACAATCGAGTTCTACAGAGTGAACAGCAGAGGCCTATAAACCCCAGCCCCTGTGCTTCCCCACACCCACTGGACCCTAGCACCAGGGATGCATCATGAAGATGTTTGCATTTTATGCAAATTGAAGCATACAGCATGAATTCCTATGTTTGTCTTCTCTTCCTCAACACCATGTCTGAGGGAGTGGAACAGGCTATCGGTTAGTCTTGCAGAGTCCCGCCGTGTGGCTAGACCATAATGTACTTATCCATCCTGCTGAGCATCACTGATATGCATAGGGTGATGCTGATGCTCACACACCAGAATGGCTACAAAGAAAAAGACAGGAGATAAATGTGACAAGAATGGGGGACAGCCAGAACTGTCACTCTATACTAGCAGGTGGGAATGGAGGCTGGTATCTCCTTTGGAAAACTGCTTGGTGTTTTCTCTTAAAGCAGGAGGACATAGACATACACTACAGCTCAGCGATTTCGCTTCCAGGAATTTACCAGTGGAAAGGCGGGTGCACTAGAATGTATGTAGCAGCAGAAAAGCCATGTTTTTCAGTTCCTAGTTTTCCGGGCACCTCTACGTCACCTCTCTCACTCGGATATCTGACTTCACAGAACAAGCCCAGGTGGGCCTCCTGAACCTCTCAGCGTGGAGCTCCATGTTGAATCTTATCACTAGGAAGCTTTCCTTCACTCGCACACCAAGCTTCAGGGGCCTTGCTACACTTTTCTCTGGGTTTCTCCCTGTGTCCGTGCTTCTCCACAGGCTGAAACTCTCCTTCTGTCTCCCAGCTTGAGCTGTGCTTCCTGGGAGGGAGACAGGGGCCAGTTTCCGTCCCCAGGGTCTAACAGTGCACCTGTAGACACTGGACTTCTATAGATGGTTGCCGAATTAACAACTTAGTGACAAATACTGGCTACATGTGGGGCACCATTTGCGTGGTGCATGTACACAAGCACGCCAAATCGTCATAGTAACCCTGAGCCAAGCACCACCACCATCGCCACTCCCACTTTACTGATCAGCTAACCAAGCCAGTGAGTCAGCTTGCTTACGGTCAAACAGCGAGTCGGCAGTGGAGCCTATACTTGAACATAGGCAAGCTATTTCCAGAGCTCGCTCTTTTGAACTCTGACTCCAGATGGGTAATAGTTAAGACTGGGACCCAGGAAGGAGGCAAGGGACTTCCCATAACACTACTTGAGACCACTGTATCAATACTTTCCAACCAAAGACTACCGGGAACACATCCAAAGAAGAATCAAGTTGGGTTTATTGGTTTATGGCAAGAAAGGAGAACACACACAGGAAGAACCAGGAGGCACAATGAGAAACTTATTCTAGGGTTCTGGCTCCTTGCAGATTTGTGGAGGAGACTGAGATGCAAAGTCTGGCTTTGCTTTGGAACAGCTGCTGATGAGCAGAATGGGCTGTTCTGCGATCAGCTGGCTTGGTTCTTCTCTGGCAGAAAAAGGAATGGAGCAAAGCACAAGCCGATTACATACAAGAACGAGAATGGTCATTTCATGGTGGGATAGCCTTGGCTTTCCTCTGTTTTTGGTTATGACTTGGGGATAGTCTTGCTTTTGCCCTGATCCATCAGGGTCACAGAGTGGTGCTGTCTGAGGTTGACGTCTATGGAATTATGTGCCATAGCTAATGCCATGCACACTGGACCTGGGCAGTCACGGCCACTGTTCTTCTTTCCTTTCTTGTAAATTTTTAATTCATGTGTATGAGAGTTTTGCCTGCATGTACATCTGTGCATGTATGCATAGTGTCTGAGACGGCCAGAAGAGGGCGCCTCCTGGAGCTAGAGTTAACAGCTTCTGAGTGGGTACTGGGATTTGAACCCTGGTTGTCTGGAAGAGCAACTAGAGTTCTTAACTACAGAGCCATCTCTCCAGCCCCCGCTGCTCTCTTTCTTGGTGGAAAGTGATAGTTACGTTTTCAAACTCTCTCCCACCAGCTCTTTCCGGTGGTGAGAAGCCGGCAGGAGCCAGCTTCAGCTTCTCCATGCTACCTTGGGCTAGCGAAGATGGCGGTAGGTACACACTCGCCTCAGAAGCCTGTTAGAGTCCCCTCCAGACCCTTCCTTTTATCTCCCTTTCGCCTCAGTAGACAGCCAAGATCCAAGGCTGCAGTCCTCCAGAGGGCCCTCCCACAAAGAACACCTGGGAGCCTGGCGGGCTGTGTGGCTAATTTGCACCATCACCATGGATTTTCCAGTCCATATATGGTCTCCAGTGTGTCCTGTCCAGCACCCTGGGAGCCCCCCTATGGAAAGAGCTTGTATCTCTCAAGGCAATCGCTCCCCTCACTTCTTCCTGGAGACTGGAGGTGTCTTCAGTGAACATAAATTAACAGCTGTTTCTGCTACCAGAGCATCTGCCTTTCACACTACCCCATCCCTCCTCACTCTCCCCCTTGACCTACTTCATCCCAGCAGGTGGAGGGCTTCAATTTCTGCCCCTCCCCCAACTCCAGGAGCTGTGTGTTTTTAGCACAGTCTGGTTTATTTACAGCTCATTCCAGCACTGAGTATTTCCATCAGGTGGATGAGTTTGGGAGTAGCACCCCCGCCCCCTTCACTCTGCCTGTCAGCTAAGCCAGGGCTTCAAATGTCTATTTTGGTGCTGAGTGGCCCATGAGTCTCTCTCAGGCCTGTGCTGTCTCCCGCTGGAATCATGCCTAAGCTCAGGGACCAGCCTAGAAAAGCCCCAGAAGGCTCTATTGTAATGGAAACTGGTGTGTATGTGTGTAGCACACGGTACCTGTTGTGGCCCAGGTGCACCATGTGCATGGCTCAGCCCCAGGCAGCTGCCTTAGCAATGTCAACTACCAAGGGACTCCAAGACCACCAGCCTTCACTTAAAGATACCAATGCCACGTTATCTGTGGGAACTGCCCTGACAAAATAGAGGCAATGTCTAATGAAGGTTTTGGCAAATGTTTGTTTGTTTGTTTGTTTGTTTGTTTGTTTGTTTGTTTTTTACATCGGAAAGGATCCTTTTCCATACTTTGTTTTGAGAAACTGAGGTACATTCTTGGAAAGTGATTTACACTCTTGGAAATACAGGAACTTGCATCCAAGAATGTGAGTCTGGGGGGCATGTAGCCATGCGATACAGTACAACTCACTTTCTCAGCCCAAGGACTTACTTAGTTTCCTCATCTTTACCACCAAGAGTTAGGCATATACTGCCTCCAAAGGCAGTTTCTTTTGTTGTTTTTTTGTTTTTGTTTTTTTAATTGGTCTAGTTTTATTTCAATCTTCAGGAGATGACATCCCACCCATACATACACATGCACACACATAATGTCATTCACCCATATCTACCTGACAAAGTCCAAAGGCAGTTTTTAAGATAAGTATGACACCAAGATCACTGTTAGGTCTATCTTCATTTTCCTACATGCAAGACAAGCCCAGGCCACCAAGCAAGGCCACCAAGACAGCCGTTCCTATTTCAAAGTTACACCAAAAGGCATCCCTCAGAGCAAGCCAGTGTGTCACTAAAAGTCACCAAAGGAAGCAGCTATGAAAGGACACAGCCTGCCTTCGTCGGTTGGAAAATGCCAAGTGCAGTCATATGCTAGTGGTCCTGCATCTGCCTGGCCACACGGTGGTAGCCTATTAAGTTTTCACGTCTCTCCCACCTGTTGGAACACTGTTGGAAGGAAACATCAGAAAAGGCGAGGTGAAAGGAGCGTGTTCCATGGCGTCACTGGGTGCATCCGTGCTAGGCTGGAAGGCCCAGCAGTGGTGACATCCACACACTAGCTAGCTGCAATTTGCCCAGTCGTCTATAATTCACATATTCCAGAGAAGATTTACTCCTAGGACTTCCCCTTGACCCCATCCATGCACAGACCGTACTGCCTTTGAGAAACAAATTCTGGTCCTAAAGGTGAAAGCATTTTGCAATTCTTTAAAAGGCTGTGGGGGAGGTTTGCACCAGAGTGGGCCTGGGCAGCAAGTGAGGACACATCTGCAAAGGAAATGATTCGATGTTTTGGTGGCTGCTGCCTTTGAGCCGCATCACCCAAGCCAGTTGGCGAGCATCCCAGCCACCTAATGCCGAGGGGTGGGGGCTGGGAGTGTCATGGACCACAGAACATGGTTTTACTTCAAAGCCAAGGAGTCAGCAGCTGCCAAACACCCTGGAGTCAAGGTCACCAGAGGAACAACAAACAAATTCACACACATAGGCATGTATGCAAGGCCCCCACTGACTCTATCGTACCCCATTCACGCTGCAATCCTAACATTGGCTGAGGGGTTTCAAATTTAAAGTCCGCTAATGCTCCCAGGGCAAGCTTACTGTCCAAGTCTTTTTTAAAAAATAATTCATGCGCATATTCTCTCTTCCTCCCTCTCTTCTCTAACACACACACACACACACACACACACACACA